CTTTCAGAAAAAATCTAAAAAATCTGAAAAAAATATATGTTAAACTACAACTAATAAACTTTATTTTAATATAAAAACAAAAATTATTTCTTATTAAAATCATAAATTTTTATATAAAGAGAAAATTTCAATTTTTACTATATTTTATTAGTAAATTTAGCCTCTGAGTCATTACTTTTGGTTATCACTGTAGATAAAAGTAAATCAAATAATTATTTTAGTAATATTATTTTATATTCTTTTTTTTAATTTAAATTAATTCTGATTGCTAGTAAATTAGTAAATTTATATTTGAATAAATTTGATTTTATGATGTTTAACTTTGAATTAATAATTATTTAAAGTATAATCCAGCATGCTAATTTATTAGAAATTTTAAATTTATTAAATTGTTATAATATTGATTATCACGTGATCAATCGTGATGTGGCTTAGTAATTGTTTTATTCATTTAATAACGATAACGATTTTAGTGGTATGCATACTAGTTCAATTTCAAAAATGTTTGTTCCTCGTATAGTTCAAAAACGTCCAAAAAGCTCAGTAGATCAAAAGACTAGACAAGAAAAGCGAGTAAAAATTATAAAACATGATATTAAGAACATAAACAGTACTCTCGAAGAAGACAATAAAAAGGAAGAAGAGACAATAGAGATTGTAACTGATCTTGGTGAGAAAGTAATTGAAAATAAGAGAAGGGAATCTTTATCTTTTGAGGAGATAGAAAAAGATGATGAGGAGCCAATCAAAGAACATAGCATGCAGCAACGCAATGCTTTACCTGGAGAGCCAATTTGCGTGGTATGGTACGCGTGAACTTATTTGCTCTTTGCGTTCTTCTCATTTATTAATATATCTTTAAAATAGTGGCCGATACGGAGAATATATTTGCGATGAAACGGATCACGATGTCTGCAGTATTGAATGCAAAAAAATAGATATTAAGCTCTCAAAAATCACACCGGCAACAGCGGCACCGAATAATGCGCCGATTGAACAACAATCTCCAATCTATTATACATATCCACAAATTATCGCAGCCCCATTGCTACCTCTTTCATTTCAAAACCCAACTTCTGATCTTTTACACGTAAAATTAACCGGTTATTTCCCACATCCAGAGATAAGTTGTATGACAGAATCACAGCTATTCTCAATTCTTTCTAGAAATCAAATCAATTGCTTGGGAAAACACATTCCTAGACCTATTCTGAGTTTTGCGCATTGTCGACTACCTGAAAAAATTTATGATAATCTACAGCAGATTGAAATTCATAAACCAACGCCTATTCAAATGGGTGTAATTCCTGCCGGATTGGCGGGTCGTGATATTCTGGCGAGTGCTGCAACAGGATCAGGAAAAACAGCTAGCTTTTTAATTCCAATCATTGTGCACTCATTTGCATTATCACAATATTATCAAAGCGGCGGCATTAATGATAGTAATGGGGGACCTTACGCGTTAATTATAGCCCCAAGCAGGGAATTATGTGCACAAATTGAGCAACATACAAAATCTTTAATTCAAGGATTGCCTAATATGAAAACTGCTTTATTAATTGGTGGATATCCAATTCCAAATCAGATACATCGTCTTCAACAGCGAATTCAAATTGCAATTGCGACACCTGGACGATTTCTTGATATTTATAATCAGTGTAAAGCAGCTCATAATTTTTTTGCAAATATTCATATTTTGGTATTGGATGAAGTTGATATGATGTTTAAAATGGGATTTGAAACGCAATTAATGGAAATCTTGGAAAATTTACAGATTCCTTTGGGCTCGTCGCATCGACAAACTTTAATGTTCTCGGCTACTATCCCAAAAAATATTGAATCAGTTGCCTCCAGTGTTTTACGGGACCCTATTAAAATTCTTATTGGTGGTAATAATAAATTGGACGAATGTATGAAAAAATTCGAGAATTTGAGTGGTAACAATACTATTGCCAATAACTATTATGAAATGATGAACACAAATGAAACCAAACTAAATAGCATGAACAATAATAATCCAATTCTCTCAGTGAAACAGACAATTCTTTGGGTAGAGAACAAATCCAAAAAAAAACAATTATTCTCAATATTAAATGATCCAAAATACTATAACCCCCCTATAGTAATATTTGTCGAGTCAAAACTCGGCGCAGATCTATTATCAAAAGCGATTGAGAAAAAATGGCCAGAAACGCGAATTGCAAGTATTCATGGAGATAAAGTACAAGAAGAACGAACGCAAGTACTACAAGCTTTTTTGGCGGGTGAATATGATATTATAGTCTCGACTGGGGTATTAAGTCGTGGATTGAATCTAACGAATGTTCGGATGGTAGTGTTGTTTGATATGGCAGTTTCGGTTGATGAATATATTCATCAGGTTGGAAGAGCCACTAACAAGGGAAGTCAAGGATGGGCAGTTACTTTTATCAATGAGGTATGTCTTTCTCTTTCTTTATGCACTTTGCAACTGTTGGATCAATTCGATTGACACGCTTTCTATTGTTTTAGGATCATAAAAAACTATTTAAAGAATTTGTGAAAATGTTAAAGAGTCAACCGCCTGGCAAAGTTACTCCACTCCCTTCAAAACTACTAGGCCATGGATATACTCTATTGAAAAAGTGATAAATAGCTAGAGTTCGCACACTATATCAATTGATAATGAAAAATAAAAAAAGCTTCTAATCTCAATTCTATTTATTATTTATACAAATAACGACTATTTTAATGCTTAAATAATTGTACAAAATATTAAATTCTAATAATCCCATTATTACTGTATCTACTTATTTTAAAATATTTAAAACCATCAATATCTATTCCAAAAAAAATTTCATTATTATTTTGGTTTCTTGAAACACAAGAATTGTAAACTAGTACTCTTGCGACTTTCCACCAACAATTTCTTGACACTACTTAATTCCGATTGTAGATTTCCGGAACCCTGCGATGGATCATATGACTGTTCGATGGTTACGTAAATTGCTTGAAGTGTTTCTTGTGCTTTCGGAGTCACGTATTGTGAAAGTGTTTGATGCATGAATTCTATTTCGAGTGTAGCCTGTAACATACCACCCATTCCAAACTTTTCTACTTTTTTAAAAGCATCAAGACAATCTTTTGCCATGCTCTCAAGCAAACATGAGAGCGTACGATTGACAAGATGTTTTGCAATATCACCTACTTCTGCATGCACCAAAACGAGTGATAACAAAGCTTCATAAACAAAAGAATGTACCTCTATTTGATGACGATAATAAATTAATCATATATATAATGGATTATAAATATAAATTTCAGGTACATAAATGACTTACCAGTTGGTTTAGAAATATTATACCAATCTATATTTCCATATAATATACCTTTCTCCACAATATCCCGAACAGTCGCGGTTTTCCGTTTCATATAATCGTCAAATAGAATTTTATCTAATTGATCGACTAAATCGTTAAGTTGCTATAAAATTGGAAGAATTTATGTTAATGGGTAAATTAAAGAAAAAAACGATCTTCTTTTGAAACTAACCTTTATATCTTCAGACATACTACATTGATATGCGTTCTCAAATTGAGACACAATTCTTGGGATACTGAGCGATTTCAAATTAGCAAGGTTACTAATAGTTAATAGAATCCTTGAATCCTTTCAAGAGAGAGGTAGAAAAATATATGTCAATTAAGATTCGTTTATTTTAAATTGTCTTTTATTTATAAATTGATAAAATGTAGTTCGCTCAACCAACCATTCGATTCGGATCAATTTTCGCTCTACTTATGAACTCAAAATTTTCAGTATCCACCGGTTCCAATGGTGAATACTCGGAGAAAGCAAGATGTACCAGCCCGTCTAAATAGGAGTACAACGAATCAAGAAACGCGCCCTTAATCTTGTGCAAGTAATCGCTTGGTATACTTGATGTGTTCTGAGGAGTATAAATACAAATATTACTGAATCAGGAATGGCTTCAATTGCCAGGTTATAAAGAATTTATTTCTATGTAAACCAACCTTATTATCGTCGTCGGAAACAAAGCCGAGACTAGCAATTTTAAATGCACATCTCGAGTTATATTTATGAAAAGTATGAAAATTTCTTAGGAATGTTGTGATTTCACGGTTATCTGGATCCAAATTCCAATCTTCGAGCATATAAAATTTTTTGGCGTCTAAGATTTAATATCAGAAATTATAATTATCATGCATTTTTACTTAAGATGAACAAGGTCAAAATATCCATTATAAAATAAATGCAATATTAACCTCCATTCCAAACTTTACAAATTATCTCCACGAATCCCCACCTTGTCTTATCCATTAAGGTAGACAATGCTCCAGACGCCTCAGGTGCCATATTAATAGAATTAATATCATTAACACAATCGCTCATCTCCATTACAATCCTCGTCAAAAAATAGCAAGTTGTTACTGAATCTGAGTGTGGTGGGATAAATGAACTATTGTTATTAGGCACGGCTGTGGATACACTAGAAGTATTGGGTGATGTGTCTTCATGTGGTGATGTCAGAGTGAAGAATTCGGAAAGCAAAGACGCATAAAGATCTATTACTCCTTTTGCCATATTTTGACATTGTTCTACTTTACGAAGATCCATTGCTTGACGGCGTCTTCTATTTGCACTTAGAATAGTTGGGCTCTGAAGTTTTATTAAAGAAATTTTAGATTCGTCGAAGAAAGAAAAAGGACCAAAATAAGAGTTAAGAATGTGGTTTACTACCATAATACCTTTTGAAATTTTCCTTCTATAAAAGATTTACTTAGTTTCCAAAAATCTGGCAAGCATCTGAGAAGTAAATCAGACAACGACTTTACAATGTTCAAAATTGCTTTCCATGTTTGTACATCCATGTCTTTACTAGCTAAAAAAAAGAGAAAGAATTAAAAATGTATCCAAGTTGTTTACCATTAATAGATATAATTTTTTTTACCCGATAAAGCATCAAAATCACGCGAATTGACAATTTTAATTGCACGTTTAAGGTGTAATGCAGCCTCCTTTTCATCAATTGTCCTGTTTAATGATTGCTTGAGAGCTATATATGAATATATATTGAGAAAGCAATGTCAAAATTAATAATAAAGATTACGCGGATTAAATAAGGAAAATAACCTTCAATTTTATCGATTTGCTCTTTGTATGATTCTTTTAAGAGATCAATAATATATTTATATTGACTATCTAAATAATGCCATACAGGATCTTCGATTGTTTCCAGTTCTAATAAAATACTGAAAAAATATAATCAAAACAAATTTCTATAACATAAACACGGTTCATAACTTAAATAATATACAACATATAATAAATATGCTGTAAGTTAAAAACTCACTTTATTGTCCTTTCTTGCTCCTCCATAGACCGCCAAGGCTCAGTCAACTGCTTAAATAATTGTTCCCGCATCTCTTCCATAATTTTTTCCACCTCCGCCCAAACTTTATCAAAAACTTTACGATACTGCGCAGCAAGTGCACTATCCTCATTTTCCTTCTCTGGGGAGCCATTTGATGGTATTTGGAGGTTACTGTCAGATGATGAGTCTGATGACGCAAGAGTTGATTCTAATGCCTTCTTTCCTTTTTTGTAGTCTCTGATTACGATATCATATTTTTGCTAGATATAATTGGAATTAATATTAGTAATAAAAGCAAAACTAAAATTAACATATTTTATTTAAAAATAAATACTTGTTTTAGAGATTCCATCAAACTACTCGGTAAGCTAAAAAAGAACTTGAATTTTTCCAATACAGTTAACGTGCTCCGTATTTTTTCCGCTTTCATTCTATTCTCTAACACCGGACCAAAAACTTGATCAGCCTTAGCAGCAGCCTCTACCCAAAAATTAGAAAACATAACATCGCATTAATTATATTAAAACACCCTATATGTGCACATGTGTGTGTATATTCGTGCTTTTTCAAGTAATGTATCCCAAATCTCAAGCTTGATTTAAAAAATCAAAACACACCTGTTAAAGCGGCACCTAACCCTTTAACACCATACTCGTTTTCCTCATTCAAACTTTTCGATTTCATCTCATTGTACACGGTATCAATCGTATTTTTTGCACTAACAAACCGGTCAAAATTATCTTGAACTAAATTTTTCAATGCCTCCGATTTTTGATCAAGCGTGTTTCGTAGTTGGTTAGCTCCGATTAATAGATCGTTAAACGATGTATCTTGATGAACTTTACGGAGAAATAGTTTGGGATTAAATGATTTTGTACCAACGAGAAATTGGGTTCCTTTTTTAAAATAAAGATCGAAGGAATGATAAAGATGAGGTTAATAACGATAAATATGTGTGCGAGTTCAAAATTAAGTAGTGGAAAAAATTGATTTAATGATGTATGATAATAATCCTCACTTTCTTTAAGGCTTTCATACGGATCTAAATTACTGTTGTTCTTTGCATAATCACTGTTGATTCGTCCCCCGTTGATGAATCAAAGAATATTATATATATATATATATATCTATCTAATTTAAATTATACTAATTAAATAAAAAAATGAAATTACTGACGTAAATACACTATGCTTAATTCCAAGTGGATCACTATCATCTAAGCTCCAACGTTCGTCTGCACGCCCGTTCTCGATTCCACCATTCCCTTGAAAGAATGCATTATCACCACCAACCGAGTATCTTACAGATTTTCGATTATCCGGTTCATCAACCCACTCAACTGGGTCAAGAACGTCAAGCTGATAATGTTTTAAGACTTAAGAGAGTTGAGAGCATGGATTAGCATCAAAGCCAAAGACAAATAAAAGAAAGAGGAGAACGTAATATAACAATGCATATGGCAATAGCTTACTAGCTGCTTCTTCGGATAGCTGTTGTTCATAGACTGTTGCTTGTCGATACATGAGTTCTACGTTGATAACGCAAGCTCGAAAGGGGGAGTTTACCTAGATCTATTTATAATTTTGATGAGGTTAAAGTTTTTTTCGTATTATAGAATTCCTAAACCTAAACCTAGTGATCCGACCCGGGACGGATGGTAGCTTTTTAAACTGATCCCGGATAACCTATAGGATTCAACCGTCGTATTTTTTAGACGGGTTGGATCACCAATAAGAATATTACCTTAGTCATGGCGAAAATGCTTTCCATGCATGTGATTTTTTAGATCATTTGGCCAAAATTATTATAATTTCTTTATAATTAAACATATTATGTAATGTATATTAATAATATTAATATGGTCCGGTGCAAAAAGATTGATACATCAGATAAATATTAATAGATTATTTTTTCAAAATAAAATTTTAATTCTATCTTATTTAATTAAGTTATTAGATATTGGGATTTATTTAAATGTAAAAATATTTATTATATATCTTTTATAAAAAATTTTTACTAATAATAACTTTTTTCAATTATTATTTCTTAAATTTTATTATAT